CCACGGGCGGAGGAGGAAGAGGGGAAAGAGGGAGAGGGAGACAGAGAGAGGCAGGCCTCGGGCCGCGAGGCCACGGGCGGAGGAGGAAGAGGGGAAAGAGGGAGGGGGAGACAGAGAGAGAGAGAGAGAGGATAGGGGGTCGGGAAGAAGAGGATAGGCAGGCCTCGGGCCTCGAGGCATTTTGGCCGAGCAGGCAGGACGGCGGCGCTGCAGGGCAAGTCGCACCTGCACCGCGCAGCTGACCACGTAGGCTCTGGCCAGCTCGCCGGACTGCCTGCCAGCCAGCATCGTGCGCACTTGCCTCAGAAACCATTGCTGGGCCTCTCCGCCTAGGCGACCTGGGGTCTCCACGACAAAGCCTGTGAGACGGTCCCCCGCACCTCCAAAAGCTTGAACGGGTTGCGGTAGCCACTGTCTGCTTTCAGAACCCGTTCCCTCCAGAGGCTCCCCAAGTATCCAAGTAGACGTCGCCAGCTCTCCATTCTGACCCTGTGCAATGCTGGGCGTGCTCATAAGGGTCTTGCGAACACATCGTAGCTCCTTCCGCTACGATGACGTGATATCTACGGGGCTAGCGCGGGGCCCTTCAGGAGGTGACCCACTCAGTTTGCGCGGACCTGCCCCGTGATTGCGTAGAGGCTCTGTCCAGCGAGACCGCGACACCTTCATGTGGTTTCCAGCTGAAAGTTCAGGACTGACGTACCACCATACCGCTTCAAGCCGCGGACACGGAGTCGTCCCCCAGAAGGTGATCCATCCATCATTGGCCTACAGCAGCCGAAGTTCGCCCGGCGCCAACATGGAGACCCAAACCTTGAGGCCCAGCGCGCCCCTTGGAGCCGCTAGGATAGGTCGACAAAATGCCTCCCCACTCCAGGCGAGTACTGTGATGAAACCCCCGCACGCAGACAACAGAATTGCTATGGCGAGAGCTCCAATAGCTAACATTGGTCGGTGACCCAAGCGAGAGTCCCGCGTCCTCTGGGAGCCCCCGTAGAGGGAGTCTAAGGGCGTGAGACGGTCCCTCGAGTGCCTGGCGTTCTTCTGGCGTTCTGCCCTGCGGGCGGCCTCGCCTACGCGGCGTGCTGGCACCACTGCCACGTCCGCGGAAGCTGGGTGGCGGACCGTCACGTCGACCCAGTGGCGGCCGGCCCTGTCCTGGTATTCCACGTCCAGGACCGCTCGTTCAAGCAGGTCCGCGTCGGGCGGGTCCGCTGGTAGTTCCTGGTCGCCCTCTTCTCCTCGTCGTCCTCCTCCTCGTCGTCCTCCTCCTCCTCCTCCTCCTCCTCGTCGTCCTCGTCATCCTCTTCATCCTCGGCCTCATCCTCTTCATGCTCATCCTCAGTCCCAGCGGCATCTCTACGAAGACATCTTCCCGATCGTCTCGTGGCCTAGTGTTCAGGTGGGACAACAAATGGTGGACCATTGCCTTCAACCCCGAAGGCTCGAGAGATTCCTCGGTCCACCACCGATTGGCTCACGAAGTTCTACTCCTCCTCTCTCTTAGGTGCAAAGACAAGTCCGAGAAGGTCTGATTCCTGTTATGTTGGCACGTGGTTTCAGGGAGCTCCGCCTTGGAGGGCGCTGCATCATCATCCTCATCATCATCATCATCATCATCATCACCATCACCAACATCACCATCATCATCATCATCATCAGCAGCATCATCATCATCATCACCAACATCACCATCATCATCATCATCATCACCATCATCATCATCATCATCATCATCATCATCATCATCATCAGTATCAGTATCATCATCATCATCACCATCATCATCATCAGCATCATCATCATCATCATCATCATCATCATCATCATCATCATCATCATCATCATCATCATCTCCATCATCGTCATCAGCATCATCATCATGTTGAGAGAAGCGGGATGGGGGAGGAGGAAAATGACGAGAGACAGGAAGAGGAGGTGGAGGAGGAGGAGGAGGAGGAGGAGGAGGAGCGATGGCGACGACGCCGCCTGGCAGAATGCTTGTCGTCGGTCGCTGGTCGTCGCGTCGTCGTCGTTCGAGATTCGATGACCTAGGTTCGAGGTTCGAGTATCTAAGTTTTCAGATTGTTTCTGGAGGCTCGCGTCGCGACGGATGGACTCGGCTCGGAAGGATGGACTTCGGGGAAGGTCCAGGGACCAGTTTTCAATGGACTTTCGGTTGTCGTCTCGTCGCCGTCGATCGAGGTTCGAAATAGGTTTTTGACACTCGAGGATCGATCGTCGCCGTCGTCGCCGCCGCTGGAGGCCCATCGGAGGCTTTCGGATGGCCTGCTCGTCGCCGAGGATCGACGATCATCGGTTGGATGGTGGCACTCTGGCTAAAAGCCTCCTTGGGCCTCCTGTGCGGCGCGCCTTGCACCCGCCGCGCCCTCGGCGCAGGCGACGGACGCTCGCGGGCCCGAGGGAGCCCTCACACGCGCCCGCCACTGTGCCGGCGACGAGCTAAGCGAGGGGCTTGGCAGCCCCATACAGCGGCGGGGCGAGCCCCCTCACGTGGGGAGCCAGGGCCCACCCACCAGGGTCGCCGCCCCAGAATGCGCCTGGGCGCCAAGGCCCCCCACCACCCTCCGCCAGTCCTGCAGTTCGCTGATTCTCGATTCCATTTCGGAACCCCCGGCTATCCCTGTGTGCTCACTGGGCCAGCGGGTGACCCTTGGGGGCACATGTGGACCTATACAGACAAGCAAGGCACACCCAGACTGTCCGTCCCTCAATGTCCGTCTCTCTGTCCCACAACTACGTCTGCGGGTCTCTCCCGCAGTGCATGTGTTTCCTCCTCTTTAACTACTACGTTTTTCTGTCGACCTCTGTCCGTCTGCATCTCTCTCTCTCTCTCTCTTTCTCTTGCTCTTGCTCTTTGGCTTTACCTCGGTTTGCCTGTGTGTACATCTCTCTCCCTCTCTATTTCTCTCTCCCTCCCTCCTCTCTTTCTCTCTCTCTAGTTCCTTGTCTTTACCTGTCTGCCTGTGTGTTGTATGTGTGTGCCGACCTTTCTATCTCTCTCTCTCTCTTTCCCTCTCTCTCTGTCAGTATCTCTCTCTCTCTCTCTCTTCTCTCTCTCTCTGCGTCTCTATCATTATCTTTCATTATCTCTTTATCTCTCTCTCTCTTTCTCTCTCCCTCCCTATCTCTCTCAATATCGTGATACTTGCCTTGTCAGGCTGTCTCTCTCTCTCTCTCACTCTCGTTTCCCCTCCCTCTTCTCTCTCTCTCTTTATCCAGCATATCTCGTTCAGTCATGTTCGGTGTATCTTGCACTTCTCACCCTGTTGCGGATGCGCAACACATGCTGCGCAATTCCGATGTTGAGAATGGTCATTGCGACGATACTAGAAGGCAACACGGCTTGACATCATAACACTCACTGAAAGGTACGAAGAAAATCATGGAACATATTTGTTGCGCTTCAATATGGAGTAACAGTTCCTCCTCTTCCATAGCAATGTAACTGGTGATGATTTTCTGGCCAGCGATGATTCCTTGGCGCCACCGACCGTGCCCTCCGCGGGGAGGCGAACCCGCAGGTTCGACTGCAGGATGGGAGAGAGTATGGGTGGGTTCAGGGCCAGGGGGCCAATTCTAACAACATCTTTCACTGTGTCGCTCCGCTGTCGAGGCCCAGCCACCGAACGTCGGTGGGATACTTGGCACGCGCCGCCAGCATGAGGAGAACGCACAGCATCGCGCCCGCGATCGCGCCCTCCGAGGGAAGGAGGGGGCATTCAGGGGCACCATAGTGGCTACAAGCATCGTGTGCGCACGGGCCTGGATGAAACAACATGTGCACTCATGGGGTCGGACAAAAAGCGGCGTGTGCACATGCGGGATCGAGGGCCCCTTTATGTATGCCTACTGGCTAGGAGGACGGCCCGTGCACGCATACGGGCGCAGAGGAGCCACTGTCTGTGCAGACGGTCTCAGGTGAACCACCGTGTGTGCACATGTGGGGTCGCCGCGGGGGAGGAGAGCGGCGGAACGTCTGCGGGAGGCGGAGGCGTGGCACGCCGCAGGAAGCTCATCTCCGACTCCGACGCCGCGCTGCTCGAAAAGGTCTACGAGGCTTGGGCAGCAGCAGCAGCACCAGGGGCAGGAGCAGGACGAACTTCATACACACTCACTCGCCAGCGGCAGCCTTATCCTTCCTCATGCTTCCTTCTCCCTTCATCCTCCTCTTCTTCCTCTTCCTCCTCTTCCTCCTCCTCTTCCTGTTTTTTCTTTGTGTGTTTTTTTTGTCTCTCTCTCTCTCTCTTTCTCTTCCTATCTCCCTCAGCCTCTCGCCTCCTCTGTCATCCTTGCTCCGTCTCCCTCATTATTATACTTCCCTCCTCCCACCTGTTGATGTTCCTCGTTTTCCTCCTCTTCCTGATCCTCCTCTCTCCTCTTCCACCGTCCTCCGTCATATTTTGTCTTATACCTTATACCATCGCTCTCTCATCATACCTTCCTTTTTCTTCCACCTGTTCGATAGGCATATCTCTCCCCTTACACCGTCCCACCGTTCAACCGCCTCTTGCGCGTGCTGCTGTCCACGCACAGGATTTGAACATGTGTGTGTTCCCATGCATGTTTTTTCAATCGGAACATGTTCGGTCCGTGGGAATGGTGCTCCCGCTTTAGCGTTGGTTTGGTCACGTGTTAAGATCGGTGCTTGCCTCCTGTCGTTCAAGATGCCGTTCTCGCCCCAGCGCGGGCCACATCTCTGGATCCGACTCCGTCCTCGTCGTTGCCGTCCCTTTCTTTTTCCCTACCTTGGCCTTCCCTGTTGCCCCTCCCAGTAAACATAGTTGCTTCTCCTCATGCTCATCCGCCTGCTGCAACGGCTCCCCCCAACGCACAACAGGTCCCCCTTTTCCGATTGCTCGGCGAACGTTGAGTTGACTCTAACAACTGCCATTTGTGGATCACCTCCTCCAGAGCACCAGTCGGGGGATCGAAAAGGACCCATCGCAGTGGGATGGGAGATGCTGGGGGTGATAGGATATCAGATTTGTTGCGAGCGCACCTCGCTTGCCTCTCCCCTCCGCCTCCTCGCCCACGGCCGCCCTTGGCGCGCTGCGCGCCCCCGCGCGCGCGCGGGCTGGCAGCCAGGCTGGGAGGCAGGAGCACGCTGCTCGAGAGTTGATTGTGGGAGAGCACGTCGGGTCGGAGGCTCGGGAGCAGGCTGTGTGAGGAGCGGGATCGGCGGCGGGCTCCGGAGCATGCTCGCGGCCAGGGAGCAACCTCGGGAGCGGAGGAGGCCCAGCAGCGCGCCTGGAGCAGGCTCGGGAGCGGGTGGCCGAGGAGCAAGTTCAGGTGCGGGCGAGGGAGCGGGCTCAGGAGCGGGTCAGCAGAAACACGCTCTCTGGTCCCATGGCCGCGGGCGGAAGCCAGCTCGATTGGCAGGGGGTCGAGGATCGAGGCTTTACACGTTTTGAATTGTTACGCAAGCTTCTTCTCCTTTCCGTCTCACCTTCCGATGTCTCCCTTCCTCTCACCTTCTGCCTCCTACCTCCTCCCATCTCCTACCTCCTACTTGTCTCCTAAGTCGCCTCATGTATGCTGGCAACTGCTTCCAAGTGCGCAACTGTCGGCACTTTCGTGAACTCCTGGTGGGTCCAGGGTCTAGCGCAGTGCAATTTCATTCGGATCTCCACGCGGGCCGCGATCTCGTTATGTGGGGGGCGCGCGCTTGGCCGTGATGGCAGCGGGCGAGCGGGGTGAGACAGCCTGGGCATGGGCAGGCTAGGACAGAACAAGGGACTGGCGCAAGGGATGAGGAGATCATATGTGGGCTATGGGCCTGCCTCCAAGAAGTCTCAGGCTCCCCCGCGTCTCGAGCATCCTCGGGCCGCGTACCTGCAGTAACACGCTTGCGCCGCTCAGGAGCGGCAGGATTCTCAACCTTCCTCGCAGCTCGCTGTTTTGGTGGTAGCGCCCTTCTGAATCGTATTTTGGCAGATCCTCCGGTAGTGCCAAATATATTCCAGATCAACTCCCTGCTTCATCCGAATATCCGCGAGGTTCGGAAGTCTGGCTACCGATCGTAGTGTAGCGTTTGGTTGTCTCAGGGATTCCTCCAGCGAGGCTCCCTACCGCTTCATCCACACGTGAGCCATTATGATTATGCCCTATAACCACATGAAAATTGCACACTACGAATGGGACTGGAAAGAGAGTCGGTTTCCAGAACGTTGGAGGTGTCAGCGGAGACGCGGCCCACGAAGAGAAAGGACACCGCGATGATGTCGTCGAAACCAACATGGTGATATATTCCTTGTCGGGTGTAGGCAGGCACGGATGGCCAAAAAATCGAAAGCTGGGCGACCTTAGAAATCTCCGATGAACATGCAGGAGAGTTCCGCCGAGAAGAACCACAATATAGACGTCGGCTGAGGGTCAGCTGCGACTCCACGGTTACATGATGAAAAACCAGCGCCACGCGGGCGACAACGTTCAGAAATGCGCGCCACAGCCTCCTGGCTTCACAGTGAAAGTGCAGGCCGAGGAGGAGATTGCCCACTTATCCTGCGGACGCTGGCTCGATGATGTAAAGATCAAAGCCCCGTAGTACGTTGCAGCCGAAGGAGTAGAACATGGCAGTGCCAAGTGCGTAGGATCCGCGACCAACACGCCCCCCAAGAAGCCGAGAATTGCTGCGCGGTGGTTTAGAAGAAATGGCTCAAGTAGGCGAACATCGCGAACGCTGGCGCGCCCCGCGATGGGGCATCATGGCGAGGGTGACGCGACGTGTAAGAAAGCGCCGGGGACAGGGCGGACCACTGAAGATGACCAGCTTCATGTATCGTTTTGCGGCGTACCAGGACAACGAAGACAATTATACGACGACTGTTTTAGTGGCTCGACGACGCTGCTCCAGGGCCCAGCCACGCGTCGTGGACGAGCAGGGCCCCCTCTATCGTCATCCGCTTCTCCCAGCTTAGACCTGAGCCTTCTTTTGCGAAGTAGTCGCGGGCCGATTTCGCATCCGTCAAGAACGCTCGAATTCTCATCGCAGCGATCTCTGCCACCTCTCGAGGCCCAGATGCAAGTTCCCCACCCCCTGCTGCCACTCGCCAGCCTCGAGAATCCGCTTAGTGCGAGGCCTTCGCCGCCAGGGTACTCATGCGCACCCCCTGCGCCGATGCTATTACATAGTCCATCATCGCTGCTTTCACTGGCGCCCTCGTCAGCGCGTCGTGATCCACGATGAACGGGAAGTCGTGATCTGCTGTTGTACTTGACAGTTTCGTTGCTCTCTCGGTCGCCGTCGGCGCGTCAAGAATCGCACGTCGTCGGAGCGGCGGCTTTCCTCGAGTTGGTGCCCGTCGGGAACGTCTCCGCGTAGTCAGCGCCTCTCCTGCCGTCGTTGATTGCCCTGTTCGCCCTTGCCAGGTCCTCGACGTGCGGGGCGGCCATCGCTGTCTGAACCTGGCTGGCTTGAGGGGCGCGGTCCGTTCGCAGCCGTCGCGGCGAAAGCGGGCCCCCCCCCCGCGGCCCGGCCCAGTTGTTTCAATGTGCCGCCGGCGAGCCAGCCGGGCAACTCCATTTCGTCGACTTCGCGGGGGCGACGCCGTCCTCGCATCCAAGGCGCGGTCTGTCATCATTATTCCTGCGTTGTTTTGCGCGTTCATCTTCCTCCTGGCGCGCCGGATGGTCGCCTTCAGTATCTTTGCCCAGACGCTAGCTAGCTGCTGTGCTTCCGCGTTTTCTACCAGGCCTGTCCTCCTGGTCCGGGGGCCGATCCTGGGCGCTAGCGCGCCGCGCGGGCCCCAGGGCCAATCTGCCTCCCCATGCATGTGCCAGGATTTTGTTCTGTCCTCTCCCTCCTCGCACGGTGCCCCGGCCGCCTCTGCGCTGGCTCGACGCAGGCCACGAGTCAGTTCCGGGGTTGAAGCGGCTTTTCGCCGCGCGAGGGCCCCCGCCGCGGCGGCCGCGGCCGCCGCCGATGGATCTCCGCGGGCCTCCGGCCACGAGCGGCTTTCGAAATCGACCGCGGGGGCTCCGGCGAGCCCGAGTTCCCGCAGAGCCCGACGTCGCTCGCGCGCCCTTTGCGCTGGCAGCGAGCGCGAGCGAATTCAGCAATTGCTGCGACGGCGACGCGGACAGTCTCGACGCGGACATCGCACCGCCTGGGGCAGCTGACGGATCCTTACGCATCCCTGTCGAGGAGCTGACAGACGAGGGCGACAGCGGACTCGGCGAGGGACGAGCCGCGCGCAGTCCTCGACCAGGGGCGCAACGAGCAGGAGCACAGACGCGTCGACTGCACTTCGGCCACGCATCGCCGGCGCAGGCGCGCCGCGAGGCAGTCTGCGGCAGAGTTCCCCCCGGGGCCCCTGCGGCGCCAGATCGAGCGCGGAATGGCCGACCGGGAAAATTCGCAGATGACCCGCGCGAGGAAGGCGCTGAAAGTTGTGGCCCCAGTCGAGGCGACCAGCGGAATGCGCCAGCTACGGCCCGCGGGGCCCAGCGAGGTCGGGGAAGCGCCGGCGACGCCGCGCGGAGATGCCAATGTCAACGACGTTTGCCGCAAGGACAAACATCTCGGTAATCCTGCGACGCGACCGGGCGGTCATAGGCCTCGGACATGCGGAGTCGCTCGCTGTCTGTAATCGTCGCCGCCGTCAGGTCTCAAGTCTTGCCGCGATCCAATCCAGACCACCCTAGTCGGGGGGCTCCATCTGCGCAGTTTTCGCCGCGCGCGTTCGCGGCCCCGGCGCGATGTTAATTGGGCAAGCGCTGCCATTATCGCGCGTTCCCAGGGGGCCTAGCGACGGGGCGTCTTATGGAGAGCTGAACGGGGACCACCCCCCCTCTTCGGCGCCGCCAACTGCGCGGTGGAACTCGCTTTCGCTGGGCGCTACCAGGCGCGAGCAAGGCCTCGCCTTCCCTGGGCGCTGCCAGGCGCGCGCCCGTCGCTGCGCGTGTTCGCCCGTGGGTCTCGAGCGATGCGCGCGCTTCGAGCTGGGTGTCCGCGCCCTGGGCGCTGCTCGTTGCGCGGTGCTCCCGCTTTCGCGCATTCCAGCAGAATTCAGCGGGCGTTGTATTTCGCCGGTTAAGCGAGATCCCCTTTCTTGGCG